TATCTAATTAAAAAAATAACTTTGCGAATAGCATATTCATAATCTCTGATGGTATTCGTATATTTTTACAGAAAATCTATTAGCGAAACTCATTATTTGTTGTGTGATTGAGCTTACTAAGGCCTTCGTATAATAAACTATAATGCAACACTATATATCGTTACCGATTTTACTAAAATCCTATTTAAGTTTAATTTAAAAGCCATCTAATAACTTTTCACAATACTTTGATCAAAAAACCTTAAAATTTTGAATCATTAGATTGAATTACCTAAGATTAGCTTTGACGAACTGATTTTCACGCTCTTTTGTAAGCTTGAGACAACATTTTTACTCGTACCTACATCGGTAAGATTTTTTTTACTTAACCCCTAATATTAACCTGTAGTTTTAAAGTATAAAAAGAATAATTAGCTATTGAAACATAAATATCTTTTATTTTTTTAGGTAAAATCATTACTTAAACGACAATTAAGCGACAATCGAAGATTATTCAATTTAATGTTCTTGCCTGGTTTTGCTCGCTCTTGATAAGTAGACAACTAACCTTTATTGATTCTTCATGAGTATGATGTACAACAATTTTATAAATAAAAAAAGCCGTGAAGAAACCAATATTATGCGCCCAAATTATCACTTTTGTGGCATACCTCTTTTAAAGCGAAGAAGAAATTCGGGCTTCTTTGGATTATAGCATATATGTTTTTTTTTTTTGTTAAAACTTTATCAGATGCTTTATTGTAGTACAGAGATGCAAGAATAACAATGAATTTACATTTTGATACGTACTTAGGTAGTACAGTAGGAATCATCTGATCTTTGCCAAAAACGATCAAAAATAATGCAACACGTGATTTGCAATAAATGCACAATTATCTTCGTATTGGCATTAATAACAACTATTAAAATTTTAATATTTAAAAAAGATACTATTTGTGAATAAAATAAAAAAAAATTGAAAAGAAAAGACCCGGAATTGCGTGAAATATTGCGATCTAAAGAAAATTTTTTTTTTGTTCCATTATTTATGATCGCCACTGTAGTATCAGGTTCCTTTAAAATATTATGCACCTTAATGGTGTAATCTCATAAGAAACACTAAATCCTTTTTTTTATCTGTTCTATAATCCAATCGTATGGCTTTTTTCACCCTAGGGTAAAATTCTGTTCGACCAGAGCTGACTCGTTTGTGCTTGTTTTATCTCAGCTCCCATAGCCTACTTACTTTAATCCAGCGACCAACCAAGCTTAAAGGTTGCCGCGGCTTTGTTTCTTTAGCATAGGTGGCAACTTGTTTTTTATTGTTCGATAGAATATGAATTACGCTTAAGTTTGGCATATCATAAATCTTATCAAAAACAAAGTTATCCAAAATTAAGCACCCCCTATAACAAAAAAAGGGTGCTTAATTTCGGGAACTATACGGTAAATTTATTAAAACATGTGATTTGCACTAGTGCTAGGCAAGTATCCGAGGCTTGTAAATAATCTTGATTGGCAAATCATAATATGCCAATCTAACACTGACTATATTGAATTAACCAACTACGGAACTATAGTTGATAACGATAACATCATAACCGATAAAAAAAGAAGTTATTTCTGATCTGCATTATTAAATACATGTGACATTTCGTGTAACAGGGAATGTTTATAAATACTGAAATAATGGAGGTAACTGTAAATCTCGATTTATCTACTCTACGTATAATAATGTCATTTGATATATTTTGGGAAAAGTTAGATAAAGACTTGGCTAACAAAGTTCAAGATTTATTAAATGAATATTTTCGTAATTCAAGCAATAAACCATCATTTATAGGAGATATAGAAATTTCAGACTTTAGTTTTGGTACTATACCACCTTCAATAGAAATAGTTAATGTCACAGATCCTTTTCTAGAATTTTATTTACCTGATAATGCAAATATCGATGTAGAATGTAAATTTGCTGATGATAATTATGAACATTTACCCATTGAATTTCCCAATAATCCATCAATCGACAATAGTAGTACGCATTTAGCAGATGATACATCCGTAAATAGTTCATATTTAGATGATACTTCAATACAATCGGATGAATTAACAGATGAACCTGAAGTTCCATTGAAACAAGATACTGATGTACAACTGCATGTAAATATGAATTATAAGGGAAATATGAGGATGACTATTACGACAGAATTGCACATGAACTATCCTAGCATGATGTTTATGAGTTTACCAATTAGACTAACTGTTACTGGATTTGAATTTTCCGGTGATTTCAATATTTACCTTTTTTTCTATTTATTTATTTTTTAGTTTTTAAAGTTTTTAAGATGGGTTAATTAAAAACATTTAATATTTATTTAACTCTTTTGTAAATTCTAGCTACGGCTGTAATAGCTAGTTTGAGACAGCGTGTTAATTTTTGCTTTTTGGCACCGAAAGATCCTGAAGAAAGGCAAGATTTATTTAATTATATATAGTATATTAAAACTTTCATAATTTATATTTTATTAATTTTGTAAATTAATAAATATCACTTTATAATAGTCTTCTGAAGGACGTTCAGATTGAATCTGAGATCGGAGATAAAGAGAAACAAGGTATTTAAATCACTGTATCAATGTCTATAATAACAACAACAATAATACTTTTTTTTTTATTTGTGCTATATTTAATTTATTGGACAGTTCTTAAAAATGTTGGAAAATTGGAAAGATTTATAGTCGACCAAATAAGAAAATTAATGGACGATGATTTAGTGTTTCCTAGCTATTATTCAATTGAATTGTGAATTTGTTTTATAAATAATCTGATAATAATAGACATTATTAATTCCAATAAATAATTGAAAATATCTGCAATATTATTCAAAATTAATTGTATTTTTTCTTTAAGAGCATTAAACATCATATAGATTAATAAATACCCCTTTTTAATTAGTCAATTTTCATTAGCCATCTATAATATAAACCTTTTTATCTCTGACTCTAACGGCGGTGTAGTCAACTTCCGTAGGATTGCCATTTATAGGCGTTTTCATCTCTGTTTCTAACGACGGTGTAGTCAGTATTGCCATCTATAGACGTTTTCGTCTCTGTCCCTAACGGCTGTATAGTCAACTTCTGTAGTATTGCTAATCGAAATAAAGTCAAGCATTCAAATATCGTTAATTATTTATCAATTACGATAACATATATTTTAAAGTGTTATAAAGGAATAAACTTACTATCCAATATGAAAGCAGTTAATCCCCAAATTTCCAGTTCTGGCTCAGAAGATGATTTAAATACCTGAATAAAAAGATAATTAATTATTATAAATATAATATTTTAAACCCATTTTCTTTTGCGTTACTTGTATTTACTATTCTAACAATTAATCTTAAGAAAACCCTTACAGGATACATAAAATCGGTATTGCCAAGCTTCTTCCACTGTTTCTTTTCCGAATTCAACAATTCCTCAATTGTTACAGTGAAAACTTTTTGAACTTCCTCCTCATTATAATTAACCTCACTTCTAACGTTTTCGAAAGGAATTTTAATCAACCCAATAAAGGGATAAACTTTTAAGGTTTTATCTTTATTTGGCAATGGTGTTGATTGTCCTAATATGTCGATATCTTCAGGTCGAATACCAATTTCTTCTGTAGTCTCGCGAAGAGCTGTGAACACAAGTGAAGGATCTGCGGTTTCTCTTTTTCCACCGGGGAAACTTGTATATATTAAATGATTTAAGTAATTATTATTATTATTTTTTTTTTTTCATAATTAAATAATTAAGAATTTAATATAAAAATACCTTACTTCTCCATTATGTGCTTTTAGTTTATTACTTCTTACTGTGAATAAAACACTTGGTTCGCCTTGTACGACACAGAATGGCTTTTTTATTTGTATAAAAAAATAATATGAGCATTAGAATGTTTTATATAAATCATGCACATTTAAATATAAAAAAAAATAAAATTTTTGAACCATCAAAACAGCCGCATCTTTAACAACTTTATTCGTATCATATTTAAATTTTACATGACTTTTACCAACAGAATTTCTTAATCGTGAACGTATTAATTCTATAGTTTTTTCGTCAAAATCTGGTATCGGTTTAATGGAAGATACGGTTGGATAGATAGCCGTTTTAATTGAAGTGTTAAAAAACTTTGAGCCATATTGCGTCCTCGAAAATTGTGAAACAGATATATTTGGGTTTATGCTTGCATTCTTGAAATTCAGCATTGAATTAAAGTGTTTGATCGAATTTAGTGAAGACTTTAACATTTTTTTAGTAAAAAAATTGGTTCGTTCGTTCGTAAATGAAAAAAAAGGAGGATTACAATGAATCAAAGTCAAATATGAACACACTATTATATATATATATATATATATAGAGAGAGAGAGAGAGAGAGAGAGAAAGAGAGAATGCGAAGAAAAAAAATAAAGTAGTATTATCGAAATGTGTGAACACTATCGCTATCACTATTTAAATTAACATGTGAGATAATGATGTAAAAATGACGAAACAAATTAGGAAATCAAATGTTTTTGTTACATTATATCGATATATCTCTCTTTATCGTTATTTATTTAGGTATTTGTGTTCGATTCTGAATGCTCTGATTTTAAAATTATAATGTTTCGGTATAAATGAAAAGAACGCAATTTTTGTGCAATATACAGACTTTAATGTAACACAGCTTGAGCAATTAAAATCAATTTGACATCCATATATGAAAATTTCCGAATTTAGACATAGTATTTTAACTAATGCTAAGGCTTGCATTAATATTATATATTTTTTGGTAAGTCACATTCTAATAAATATATAAAATCGATATATTTTTAGGGTAATTTTAAATACGTACGTACGTACGTAAGTACGTATCAGTGGCAATTATATCAGAGGTATTTAGTAAAGTAGTACTGTACGGCAGTACAAATTTGGACGGACATACGAAAATTATACCAAGTTTTGATCG